GTTTAATATTTTCACTTTAATTCCTTGGTGAGACTTGACCCTCATGCATAACATTTCTTGATGTGTGAAATGGATCTCATATTTTGCTGCACCTCTAGAATTTGCATTGTTTCTTAGTTGAATATGTAATTTGCAGATCTCACATTCATGATGGAGGCCTTCTTTGTTCATGCTTAGTTAGCCTAAATGAACGTCCTTTTATGTGTGAAAACCCTAGTTCACCCCCTTTGAGCTTATGACCTTTTCTTTGAAAAACCTCAAAATAAGCCTTGCTGGAAAAACCATGTCCTATCCAAAATTGAAGAGAGGCAATTTAAGTTTAATCAAAGATGAAATTTAAAACAAAGTTTGGGGTGGTAACATTTTGTAATACATTGCTTGAGGACAAGCAAAGTTCTAAAGTTTAGGGTAGGAGGCAACAACAAAAATCTGAGAAAATTTGAAAGAAAACGAAAAAAATGAAAAGCAAAGTTAGAAAAAGAAAGAAATAGAAGAAGAAAAAAATGAAAAAGAAAAAAAAATCCTACCTAATTGATGCATTGTTGAAATTTTTTGAAAAGTTTGTGCAGATTGGAATAAATAGGAAAAGATGATGTAATCTCAAATTTTAGTTTTAATTTTCACCTACTTGAATTGCATCTCTTCTATTTGGAAATAACCACATTGGTTTCTTATTTGTTTGAAGACCTACCTGTCCTTTAACCTCAATTTCACCTGAAAAGCCCTCTTGATATGTGAATTACTGTATACTTACAGAGGAAATTGAGAATATTTACAAGTCTATGGTAGAGTGTAGTAAAAATGATGATTTTGAGAAGCAAATACTGAGCCTAAACACTAATTGAGTGATGAGGGAAACACTAGTTGTGAGTTGTGAACATATTTTTTAATTTTGCTCATATGAAACTTTGCTAAATTACATGAATTTAGATGGCATGTTTTTGTTGACTAAGTGGTTAAAATAGTGTAATGATCATGTTGATCAATGGATGAATAACTTGATTTGGATGAGAAATCAGAAAGATACAAAATTGGGAATTAGAAGTTTTGAAAAATCAGTTTGATGATTGAATTCTTGTCAATTGGATTAATCCCTTTCCCTTTTGTTTGATTTGATTTGCTTGAGGACAAACAAAATTCTAAGTTTAGGGTGGTGATAAATTTATATTTTACCATGTTTTTAACATAGTTTTTGGTTAATAATTAGGAAAATAGTTCTAAAATAAACTTGAAAAGATCATAAAAAATAATATAATTAGTATAAATTGTTTGTTTTGTTGAAATATTAAAAATTGTTTAAATTTTTGTAGGAGTTCATGCAAAAAGATGAAAAATTGTTGAAAGTGCTTAAAGGAAGGATTAGAAGCTGAAATTGAAGAAGAATAGTTAAAGAATCAAGCTTGAAGAAATTCTAAGAGTTGGACATTACAACTCCAAGTGATTGGCGTTTGAACGTGGAAAGAACAAAATACAGCACTGGGTCTGCGTGGTTATTCTGAGTGATGCGCGTTAACATTCCAGCAACTGAACCTGGATAACTGCCATTACGTTGAAATGCACATAACCTGGCGCTTTGGCACGCAACAGAGCGTGGAAACGCATAGCAGATGGCGTAGCAACTCAAAGCTAAGCACATAGAAAAAGCATTAATTGGAGTGTTGTGCGTTGAAACGCACATCACTTGAAGCCTTGGCGCGCAAGAGCGCATTGCAACTCATAGTGCAGGGCGTGGCAACGCGGAACTGAGCATCCAAGTAAATTCTAGACAAGAACTTTGCGCGTGGCAATGCAGAGCAGTTGTAGCCTTGGCGCTGAGCGCGTGGAAATGCAAATCACATGCAGCCAAGGCGCGCATTTGCGCGCCTTTACTCCTGCCACTGCGCGTTTTGGCTCAAATTTTTGCAACTTTATAACTTCTTCTTCTTGCCAATTCTGGACGTTTGGAGCTTCTGTATCACTTTTAGAAGATTCCAGAACACTTGGGAACAACTAACTATCAGAATTTCAAGGGTTAACTCAAAGAATTAGAGGAGCTCTATAAATAGGAATTAGGAACTTAGAAATGGGGTCTTTTTATCATTTTTAGTTTTTGTATTCATTTTGTAACCGTTTTAACTTTCAAGGGAAGTCAGAGGGAGAAGAGAGGAGCGACTTTTGTTCTTCCTTGCTAGAGGAATCTGGAGGGAGGCAAAGTTATTGAGATGGCTCTCTGCTTTTCATCTTCTTTTCTTCTTGCTTCTCTCCATTTCATTGTAATGTGTTTCTAACTCTTTTGTTAGGGATTTATGGATCTAGAATTGATATATTGATTTCGTTTTGACTCTGAACTTTGAGTATTTGATTTGATTGAGGGATTAATTATGTGTTTACTTGATCTTTGAATGGAAATTCAATTGATTAATCAAAGAGTAACCTTCACTAATAGAAATTGGGTTTGTTGCTTGGATCTGAATTAATTACCAAAACTCTTGATTTTCTTAGGGATAAGTAGTCTTAGTTTTGCAATCTTTTGGTTCTAATTCGTAATGCAATATTGAACTGAATTTAGCCTAAGGAATTAAGGAGATTTGATTGAATATTAGGACCAATGAGTTGAAGAATCAATCTTTGGTTATTGTAAAGAAAAACTGATTGTCAATCAATCAAATGCTTGAATGTTCAGAGGGAGAACTGAATTGATATTGATATTCTAGTAAAATAAATTCCTAACTTTCTTCCATTCGTGATTCATTCTAATAGTACAAGTTAACATTATGTTTTTAACAATTTCTCATTTCCTTAATTTTGAATTTTACTTTCTTGCATATTGAAATCTGTTCAATGAATTGTTTGGTGCAAATGTTTATTATCTTTTGAATTGGTGATTAAAAATAAGATCCTAGAGGACGATACTTGGAACTCAATCTGATTTCCACATTTTATAACTTGCTTCAACTACCTAGTACACTTACTAGTAGTGAAATTACACCATTACTCCACATAAGCTCCTATCATTTTTTTAATATGAAAGCAAACCATGCCCTTGTGGAAGAGGAGGTATTTAGAATATATTTAATTTTTGTTTTAAAAATAATTTTTTATTTTTAAAAATAAAATATAATACAAAATTTATATTATATTATATTTTAAAAAAAAACTGTTTTTAAAACAGAAATTAAACATACTTTCAATTTTTTATATTTTTTTCACCCATTTAAAATAAATTTCTTTTTTTTTTAATACTAGTTTGTTGTTTATTAATATTAAAAATAATGTAATTTGTATAAAATTATAAATAAGACCTGTAACATTATACAGAAGAGTTTATTTTGGTTTTTAGTGATAATAAATATTAAATACGGCTTATAAAATGTTTAACTTATTTTATTATTTATTAAAGTGGTATGGAATGGATGAAAGATGATTTAACTATTTTTTAATCACAGGACACAATTTATATCAATGAGACATGAAAATGTTAGTGTGACCTGTTCCTGGGCCTGAGATTCCAACCCGAAGCTCAATGCAGTCCCAAAACTAACGATGAATTCTTGGAGCTGGTTAAGGGGCATGCTCTGTGTTGAAAATAATAATAATAATAAACAGAACAACACCTATTGACCACACAAAAAGACAGCATGACATGAACCAATCACACGTTAAACAACTGAATTGAGTTGGAGTAGTTTTATTTATAAGATATGAAGTGATTTATGTTAACTTAAGAGAGATATTATATTTATTTATTTATTATAAATATTTATATAGAAATTTACTCAATTTGGGTTATTGTAAGTCATTGTATTTATTTATCTCATATCGAAGTTAAAGGTTAAAAATCAAGAGAAAAGAGATTGAATATGTTTTTACAAGCTTTTTGTAAATTGATAATAAAAGAAAACTTAGTTCAATTTAAAATAATAATAGATAAATTAACGTTGAACAAAATTCTTAGTTAGCAAAAAGATTAAAAATAAAAAGTTAATGAGTTTTTTTATATATTGGTTTACCCAACAGGGATTACATCAATTACTGGCTTTTTGTCAAGATTTTCACTTTTAAAGAAATCAAATCAGTGTTTGACAACCCAGTAATATTATATAAGATATAAACTTAGTGTTTGACATACTAAGTATTACTATACAAGTCTTTTTTAGGCTCTGGAAACAAGCATTTTTGCAAACGCTTCTTTAGGTAAACATACTTCCAAGTATTTTTCTTTCTACGTCTCTTCAACCTTCTATGCACACTAAATATGAAAAGAAAGTTTAGCATATACAAAAAGGATTTGTTTCAAAATGATATGATATTCATGTATTTCAGTGTCTTTGTTTTATACATGAATGCATGTATCTTTAAATAACATTAAACTTGATTATTTAGGTTAGATACGTTTAAAATTTTCGTTAAAGAAGACAATATCTTTTTTTGAAAAGTATTCTGATATGCAGTGCAAGTCCCCTGCCACATCAAAAGTGTTTTTTGTATTCTTCTTTTATTTTGTTTGCTATTTCGGTGCATGGCATGAAAAATGAAAAAGAAGTTACTTTTGTATCTGCTAAAAAAATATGATGTTGCCTTTTTGAGGATAAGTCCGTTTTTTTTATCAACTCTTGATTTTACTCTTTTTATTTCCAAACAATCAGTTTGAATTGTTTGACAATAGTCTTTTTAACAGGACCTTGGGTACTCTTATGAATCGTCTTACAATTTATTTTTTATGCTGAAACCTTCAACTCCTACTTGCTCAAGACATAAACCTTTGGCATGCCAACACTACAAGTTTTTTTGTCATGACTGAAGTTTCATTTGGTTATACTTTGAAAATAAGCTGACTGAAATTGAAAATGAAACTACTATTTCAAATTTTCAAATCTCAGTGCCAATTTTTATTTTTTTTTCTAAAATAACTTTAATATCTATATGTCCTTGGTCCTTCCCTAAAGGATCGCTCTGTACTGAGTTAATCAAAATATTGTTACAGGAGAACTGAAGCCAATCTTGATGTGGTTATACTGAAGAGAAAATTTACAATATTGAATCATATGCAGGGTCAAGCCAAGATTCTGGGTCCACTTTTGCATGGCATAACATGATCACAAGTTTCAAAGGATAAAGTAAGAGTTAGCACAAAACATAAATAGTACTCCCGGAAATGGTGTTCTCTCAATTAAAATTTACAAAACTGGAGCCAAAGTCTAATAGACAAGCAAGCAAACAACACAACAACGATGAAGAAATTAATATTCAAATACAAGTATGTAACACTATTATTTATGTCTCAGAAGTTCTCACAGTGAGAAAGTAATAAAGTATGAACTTTGTACTGACCATGTATATAACCTACAAATCTGCTCCCTCTAGGATTCATATTTTGGCCTTACTCTTGCAAACTTGGTCTTTGATCTTAAAGTCCGGAACCCTAATAGTGAATTTGCAATTGGACTTTGCGACAATATGTTTTTTGATGAATCCAAGGAAGGAAACTCTTCCAGGAATCCTAGTAACTGTTTCCATAGAGAGTTCTCCTCCCATTAAGTCCCCAATAAAACTTGTCAAATTGGATGCAAGTTTATCAGCCTGAAGGGTGAGTCTGCATGGAAGTGTTGCAGAACCCCTTGAAGGAATCAAACCCGGGTATATATCTGTTTCTCCAACTTGTTTTCCTTCATACAACAACACACTCTTTCCCTCTTGATGCTTGAAACTAGCATGGTTTCTGTTCTCGACTTGAATCTTGAGGTCAAGAGTAACATTGATTTGTATGTCAATAGCAGGAAATGTGACACGTGGAGCTATACCCTCCAAAGCAGCTGAGACAAGTTGTGTTCTTGGCTCTTTGGGCTTCAACAAGGTCAAGGCTAGAACAAGTATAACTATGATCAGCACCACAAGAAGTAAGCACACAACCCCTGAAGCAATCACGCACACTTTTCTCCTCTTCAGCTTTTTCTGTGAAATCACTACCACTTGTTCTTGGTCATGCTTATTTTGTTGTGCTTCTAACATGGTATCTTGTTTTGGTGCTAATTCAGACATTGATGTTGGGGCAACAGAAGTAGCAAAATGCAAGCGTGTGAAGATTAGATAGAGATCTTGAAATAAGATTTGATAGCTATGGATGGCCTGTAATATAGGAGTGCCAACCATAATAAATTAATGTAAGATATCATAAGGTTGTTGGGTGTTGTGGGGGTCCAATGGTTTTAATTACAAGTATTAGTATTATGCAGACTCAACTTAATGCGCGGCTAGCCACTCCGTGTCCCAACCGCCACTAAACGCCTCTTTTAAGTCCATGCATTTTACATAAATTCAAAGGAACACATTAATTGCCTTCTGCAACACATATTCAATTAGGTTTTGATCATCGGAAATTGTAGATATTTGAAGTATGAGGAAGGCTTACAACACTCTAATATACTCTTTTCGGTTGAAAACAATTAAGTCTATTATATTTTTTATAAATATAAATTTTATTTTAAAAATATTTATAATATTAAATGATGTAATTAGTAATTTATATATTTAATAATATAAATAAAAAATTTAACAATTAATACATCTTAAATCTATTATTTATTTTTTATAATAAAAACTAAGAAAATGCTCCATTTTATTTTATAAAAAGGATAAAAATAAGTACTTTTTAACTGTTTACTTGAATTTATTAAAGATTAGAAAAGTAAGAGAAATAAACATTAATTTAAAAATAAAAAAATTAAACTTACTAATAATTTTTAATAAATTTTAACTAATGATAAAATATATGTTAAAAAAGTATAATACTAGCATTACTTTTTACAATTATATATATATATATATATATATATATATATTATAGCTTTTGAATTTACTAACTTGCTAATTATTGTCACGATGGAATGTATTGAAAATTACAATAGCAGGTGTCTTTTACCTTTTTCAATAATAATAATAATAAAATCTATTTTTAAATCTTTAACCAGTATCTTCAGCATTTTTTTTAGAGAAACCTCAAATGATTGAACATTATTGTTTAAAATAATTTTTATGATACTTCTCTTTTAGTTAATGAGTACGTATGGGCAGCTTAATAAAATGAGTATTTGATAATATTTTTAAATGTTAACTTATATTATAAATTTACTTATGAAATTTATTAAAATAAGCTGAACATATTTATTTTAATAAATTATACTAAAAAAATTATTAAAATAAATTTAAAAAATTATAAATTATTAATGAACTCTTCAAAATAAGATCAATAAAATACGAAACACGTATATAACATGCTTTTTTCTAACATTTTGTTTTAGAAAAAGTGTAAACATGATGTAATTATTTTGATGTATAAATAATAATTCTCCTTTGTTTATTAGATGATGATGATCATATGCTGCTTTCTTGTATCTCATTTTTCTTCTAGAAAACAAAACAAAATATTCCTTCACATGTTTTTATCTCTATCTTGTTTTTCATATATGCATGATATAATTATTTTGATTTGCAAATAACATTTCTATTCACATTTTAAAATGAAGTTATTGTGTTGCTATCATGTCCATGTTTACGAAATAAAGGATACTCACCGAATATGACAGTTCTTCCCGTGCAAAAGAAATGTCATTCATTTCGAACAAAGAACAAAAAGCTAAAGAAGAAAAATCTATAAGGCCGTAATTGTTTTTACACACTATATTTAAAAATTATATTAGATTCTAAACGTGAACTTACTTTAAGACAAAAATCTCTCAAACTTCTAGCTCATATTTTTACAAAACTTATAAAAATTAAATTATATAGAAAAGTAAATGCGAAAAGTTGAGAGAAAATAATAATAAAGCACAGTAGAGAGCTAACATATAGGTTACCTTATCGAATACTATGTATGACGTATTAATTTATTTGTGTGGAGATTATAAAAAGCATGGGTGAACTTGAAAATCTCTCCTTTTTGTTTTAGTATGCTAGAAAATCAGACCAACCATAATTTATAGGAAAATCGTTGTCTCTGTTTCCTTTACACTATATTTGGTTTAAAAGAAAAATAAAAATAAAAGAAGATAGATTTTAATGAATAGGAGAAGAGCTTTCCTTTTTGGTTGGTAAGGAAAGAAGAGGAAAAAGAAACCATAATATACTATGATATTCTGATAAATATTAGTAAGGGAAGGGGGGGGGGGGGGGAGGAGAGTCAATAAAACTTGAGGATATTTTTTTTTAGTATAAGACAAAAATAAGAGAAAAAAGACAGTTTGATTCCATCATTTTTCCTTTCTTATTCTCTAATTTATATTATTTAAATGAGGTAAATTTTTTTAAAAAAACTTCCCCCCCCCCCCCCCCCTTCCCTCTCTTTTATTTCTCTTGAACCAAACATACATATAAAAATAGTTTTTTCTCCCAACTTGGGAATGTTGACGGTAACATAACTTACTCTGGTTAGAATGAGATAATTCTCCTCTATTCAAAATTAAATAGTCTTTTTTAATTTTTATTTTTGAGTGAAAATAAGAAAAGTATTATAATACATAATAATTAAGTACAAATCTGGAATCATCAAAATAAAAAATGGAGGTTAAGATTATAATTTGACTTTTCTAAAGTCAACAAACAAGGAAGTAAGAAAATAAAGGTGTATTTATTGTTAATTTAAAGTTAGTTAAGATTATGGTAAAATAATTATCTCTTCCAATGTAAGTATTATGGTAAAATCTATAATGAAGGAGACAACAATCTCAAATATTCCCAAGAACAGCCCAAGAGGGAGAGAAGATCGATGATGGCAAATTGCAATTACAAACAAACCAAGGTGAATATCTAATTAAAACTAAACAGATAATTATATTTATACAAATAAACAAACTAGTGGAGTCAAAATCCACCTTTAAGCCTATGTAGTTGGGGGAAATAAATCAAAGAAAATGAAGCGTGATTGGATGGAAGATGAGTCAAATGAGAGGTTAATTAATCAGCAAGTTCCTCCTTTGGATGTTTAAAATCCTCCCAAATCAGAAAACTTTGGGAAAAATGAGTAAGAAGTGATATTGAAAGACTACATAATTGACTTGCTCTCTTTCTTCTCCATCCTAACATAGAAATCAACGCCCAATCTTAGTCTTGTATTGGCACTTAATGTTCACAATTGTTTTATTGGAAAGATAGAGGGTGAAATCACAAGATGAGGTAGAACCCACATGGAATATGATAAAGCCTAACATGTCGACTTGGCCAGAAATTCTTATCAAAGTGTTGAGGGGCAATGCACCCGATGAAACATCATTTAAAGCTTGAGGATTGGAGAACAAATGATCAGCCATAAGAGTGAGTGTCAAGTTCATTCTCTTAGTCTCCTCAGCTAATATCTCTTCATTGGGAATAATGGCATCCCCAATCAATTGCCCTCTATAGTTGAGTAAGGCATTACCATCATAGAACTTGAATCCAAATTTATTTGGGTTCTCCACTGACACATCCACTTGCAATGTCAAATTCAAATTTAACCTTGCTGCAAACAAATCCATGCTCATGTCCATGTCCTTAATGCTTACGGAATCCACAGTGCTAATAGGCTGCCTTGGTCTGAACACTAGTGCTAAGATCACCACTAGCAATACAATTGTAATCACTACAATAAATGTTATTGCTAGGCACTTTTTCCTCCCTTTGCTGCTAGACCCTTCTTTCATTTTGATTGCTTTTTGCCTCTTACACTGTGTACCTACATCATCATGCAAATAGGATATCAATTCTTTGTTATATTTGTTTAATTTTTAATTAATGTAATTTCAAATGCATGAAACTTCGAAGAACCATCATTTTATGCCTAAACACACAAATATAAGAATAAGAATAAACTAAAATACGAAAAAGTGCTATCAAATGAGATATGTAAATTTGAATCCAGAATAATTACTAAACATTATGCATGTTCACCAAAAAACTCAGTTATAATATTCACATTAGTTTCATTGAAACAGAGGATAAGGCATCCTTGTCCTTGTAAGATTTTATTTTGGCAAAGTCTAAGGCAAGCTATAACTTTCAAGATATATTTTGGTTCATTAATTATACTAGAGAGGAATTTTTATTAACAACAATTTTTATAAATAACAATTTAGAAGTTTTCATGATATATTTCCAGTGTGATCTGATGGACAAGAGGTCCAAGACAAAGCTGAGAATGTTATTTCTTCGTGGACCCACCATTTTGTTTTTTGTCCTATCAATTTTTTCATTTTGCTTGTTTTCCTGGTTTAAGAAGAAACCTTCAAAAAGTCATTTTTATTTATTTTTTGTCTGTCACTGCTTGTTCTATTTCCCTTGCCTATAAAGCTTCAGATGAAGTAAAATATTAAGGTGATTCTTGATATATCAAACTACAATTACTAAAATTAAATACTAATTTATATTCTTCTAGAGCAAAAATGAAAAGATACTGGAAATTAATTAATATTATCTATACTGTAAAACCAAAATTGTGTATCATATGATATGATAGTTAACAACTAGATACTATATCAGAAAAGCAGATATAGGTAATTGAAGCACACTGTAACTATTAAATAGAGTGCAATAGTTCACCAAAAATTAGAGTTTTAGTTTGCATAGTATCTGCCTTACCTGGACAGGAAATGTTCCGTGAGGAAGTTTAGTTGTCAAAAGCTCCGCTTGACAACTTTTCTCCCTTCCAACTGTATTTGAAAGTATACATTATACAGAGTTAGGTTCATAATAACAGTATATCCCTTATTTTTTTTTTTTATAAATATTTTAAACTACTTAGTTCAGGAATAGGTGTGCATGTGTGGTGTCCTATTCAAATCCAAACTTATTTTGACTAGAGAGAAACAAAGGTTAGATTGCTTCTATATCCTAAAATAAGAGGTGATTCGTGTAAAAAAGGGGGAAAAATCATGATTTATTTTAAGGTTTAGGGATATTATAATCAACACCAATCAACACTAGCAAAGGATTTGAATTTGTCAAAGCTTTCTGAAGAGGAAATATACCTACCTCTTCCAATTAATCAACTATGACCATGCAATTGAAAATGATGCTATTACTTGCCTCTGATAATACAAGTTGTCCGGGACTAGTCCTCACATTTATTGAAATACATGAGATGCAGGCCATGATAACAACACGTTATGTTAGTATTCTTTTTCTTGCCTCTGATAATTTATTCCGTGTCCATGATTCACGGCGCATAGTCCCATCATATATTTGTGCCATTGATCTTACCCTTTATATGCATGCAAGATTGGTTAAATGTAATACATAGAGATCATACAAATTCTTCATGTCCAATCCTAACATGATCACATGCATGACAACAAATCGCTTGACCAAATTCAAATTCAATATATTTAGCTTGCTTTAGGGAATGGCATTCAAGAAAAAGAAATACAAAATTAAAACCCAAAAGAAAGACGAAAACGATGTGGCATTGCAACAATTATCAAATGAGAAGAACTTATATTAATATAAATAGCTGTATCAGAACGTAACATATGCATGTACCTGTCAATTGAAGCTTGAATTGAATGGGGTCCTCAAATGTTCAAATCCCTCATAATGCAATCCTACTGAGATTGAAACATGGTAAGAAAATTTTTGACAAATCCTAATCCATTCAGAAATTAGGTTAGCCTAGTGTTTCGATGAAGCTATTATTGGCTTGTTAAATTAAGTAATTTAATATATAGCAAAGAGAAATCGTTGTTAAAAACCTTGTTTTATTTTTGCCGTCTCAAAAGAACATTTGAGTTGGAAAATAACCTGTCTTACAGTTTTTCTTTTCTTTTTCTATAACCTGCACCTTTGGCTTAAAACATCAATGCCATGTTTGTACTATGATGCCGAGAAAAAGAAACCACCCAAACCTTTGTTGAAAATGTGTTTAGGTAAAGGGAAATACAATTCTAAGTCTAGCTAAAAATTTTCCCTCAATTTATAGGTAATGTAGAGATATTATTTTTAATTTAAATAAAATAAGCAGTTGTCCCTTGTCATCTGCTTTATAAAACTCTTACAAGTGGTGTTTTGTTCCCAAAATCTTTTGTTTTCAATTAAATTATATAGAAGTAATTTTTATATAAATTTTGTTGATTATATAATTTTTTAAGAACAAAAAAATTATCCTCACGAGAAAATTAATAATTGTACAGTTGATTACCACTAAAAAATTTTATTCTCACTTGTAAAGAAGAGAAAATTTTATTATTTGTTTTGAAACTATTCATCATCAATGCATAATTTTAAAAGTGATATTACTACGTACAAAATCCGTTAAAGAGAATTCATCTTGTTAATTCTAAATATTTTTTTTACCGATGCCTAGTATATACAGGACCGTTCTAGGAATGCAACACCAAAATAAAAATCAAACGAACCCGCAGCAAGACCGACAACATGCGAAAGCATTTTCCTTAATTACAAGAACGATGATTCGATCTCCATAATTTTTCTACTACAAAAGAAAAAGAGCTTAGGAACACACTAAGGAGGAGCGAGTCAAAGAGACAGAGACTGCGGGGAAAATTTCACAGCCGACATTTACAAACAGTTTTGAAATGATGCAATCTTCACTCAACTTTTCAGCGTGGCGGTCAAAACGCAATGCCTAGAGAATGTCCTATATCATTTTGCTCATCGGGAATCGGTGTGGCGCTGTGAGATTCAGAACGAAGCTGTCTCGAATGAACACTTCATTTTTCTTCTTAACGAGGTCCATTTTGCAATTGCTCAATAAGTTCCCGAAGACAAATTATAGACCGTTGATATCTCAAAGTTCACATCCTACGGTTAAAATTATAACAAAACGATCCACGAGGTGGGTGGTTGGGCAAGTGCAATAATAGGAATCGGAGCGTGAAGCGTGAGACCTACCGCCATCAATTTCAACTGGAGCCAGTCACTTCCTAACCTAACAGTCTTCTTTGCACTTAGCAAGCAAGCGCTCGTTTTCATCACTGAATACCAAAGTGCATTTCATGAACCATTAATTTTTACATTTAAAATTTTTGTGTGAAAATGAGACGAACAACTAACTAACAAAACAACGGAACGGAATGGAGTGGGACGAGGAAGTGAAGGAAGGGATAGTAAAGAGGCTAAAGTGGTGGGAGCAACGCAGCAACAAGCCACCGACGGCATGGGTAACGGAACTAATAGAACACTTGAACACACTGGGCATTACGTTGCCAAGTCCAGAATTAGGGGAACTATTAGTTTCGGAAATGTGCTTCGACAACAACCAGCCTTCGACGTGGAAGTTGGTGCATCACGCTCTTTCCTCGCGCCTCCTCTTCCCCCTTCAAATACTCTCTCTTCTCTCTTCCAACGTCCTTCCTCACCGCAATTCTCACCCTCACGCTTACGCTCTCTTCCTTCCTCTTCTCTCTCAACACCTTTTTTCTTTTCACCCCACCACGTCACTTCAATGCAATCTCAAGTAAATAAACCCTAACCTCCCTCTCTCTCTCTGAACTTCACTTTTGTTTTCTGAAAGATGCGTTTGGTTTTGCAGGATAGTGAGTTCTATTGATTCCGTGCTTCGATTTTCGGAAACGTATAAAATTCCCAATCTGGAGTTGGGACATGTGTTTGTGCTGTTCTTTTATAACATTGTTGTTGCGTTGATTGATTGCGCCTTGCGTGATTGGGGATTTAAAATGACGTTTAGTGAAAATTCGTGTTTAGTAGCTTCAGATGATGAAGAGTATATGGAAATTGATCATAACGTGGCGCAGAGTTTTGAGAAAAGTGAATTTTATGAACAGATGAGGAAGCGGAATTCGTTCACCGTGTTAGAGGTATTGGAAAGACTAACCGAAAGCAGAAAAGCGACTATTCTTCTGCAGTCTGTTCTCGTGAACATGTATTGTCTCACACTTTTTTTATATTATTATATGGTCTTTGTGTTTTGGTTTTGAAAATCTAGTTCGATAGTTTATTAATTGATCGCCTTTCAATCTGTTGCTATTATGATTATCTGTGATGTATTTTCCAACCGAACAATCTTTATGCTGCAATCATCTATTTGCCTAAAAAAGTTGTTAACGTCAACTTCTGTAATTGCCGGATAGAGCAGTGCTCATTGCATATCTAAATTTTTACACTACGATGCCGCAAATTGGTCAGCTGGATGTCATAATATGGTTTCACTGTACTACCATTACAAGAATTTACACTTCAGTCAGAAGTAGAATATTAGCCCTACAAATATACCGCAGGGAAATAAAATGATTCTTGTATTGGATGTGCTACAGTATGTGAGAGAAATCATTAAATGTTCCTTATTCCTTTTAATATTTCTGATTTGCACTAATTGGTATTAGAGCCAAATGCTATCCAATTTGTGTTGCTTGAAAGTTTCTATTTTCTAACATACAATCATGGAGGCAGCAGCAGTCCAGTAGGCGTTTTAAGCTAGTCTTGGATAAAAAAAAGACGTTGACTTGAATTCTCCTCCACTCTATGATATCCTCTAGAGGAATATGCTATGGGCCTTGAATTGTTCGACAAAAAAAAAAAAAAAACTGTCTTCTGAAATTGTTTAAATTCTCCTCCACCCTATGATATCATACTCTGATTTGAATTCTCCTCCACTCTATGATAATATACTTGATAAAGGATCCAAATTTTTTCATATCCTGCAGGATTTTGTTTCTGAAATTGTTTAATTTTGATGAGTAAATATTTTCCAGATTCATCAATTGACTTATCAAGTAAAATCATAGAAGCTTGTTTATCCTCTGTTCAAGTTCTAATATATCTCGCTTTCCTTGTTTTCTAGACAACGTCGGAATTTCTATCTAGTGATTTCTAGGTCATTTGCTCGAAAAATGCTCAATCCCGTATCCCTTTCCTGCCACTGTTCTGCTTTCAATTGGTGGTTTGTGAAGTTACTTACAAATGCAGAGTAGGCTAGGTGGAACATAAATTGATTCCTCAAATGGTTTGGGAGATTTCATTTATTTAATAGCACCTATGCATATGCCATATTTCCTAGTAATCCTGGCTCTTCAGGTCTGAGCACATGAGGATAATCACTTTTAGTTCCTAAAGCATACAAGTTATTTTTCTTTATACAACACTTTGCATGAGTTTTCTTGTATGCATATATTTACTTGTTCTCTAGGATTGTTCTGGGAAATTGATGATATGTTTTTCCCATTGTGTTTCTTCATGTATGATAGGCCCGAAAAATTCATTTGCCTCCAGCAGAGGCTCCAATTTCTTGAATCCCTTGACTTGGCCTCATCAGAATTAAAATTAGTAAACCAAGTCCTAAAAACGGTGTCTGCAAACACCCGTGGAGTTTCTCATTTTGATTACTGCCTAAGTAAGCATCAGCTGGTTGGGATGCTTCTTGATGTTGGATCCTGTAAGACATCGTTGAGATGCAACTACAAATTTTGTCAGTCTCCTTGTTGGGTTCCTTTTGATATTTATATGGAGAATGCCATGGATTCTAGACAAATTCCTACCAAATCCGCTATTGATGTGCTTACTGGTAAATTCCCTTAGAGTGTTTTCAACTTTTCATTGAATTTATTTTTCCTGACTGCAATTTTGTAATGGTTATTAACATTTTATTTTCAGAACGTTATGAGGATTCAGTTCTTTCCTAATATTCATGAACTATTTGCAGAAGGAATCAAGACACTTCAAACGCTAAACCAGGCTAGCTGGCAAGAAACTTTTCTAGCACTTTGGCTTTCAGCCCTTCGGCTTGTGCAGCGAGTTGAGATCAATCCATAATAATCTTTTGATTTTGTTGAGGTATTATCCAAATAATTAACCCCCCCCCCCCTCTCTCTCTTCACGGTTTATTGCAGGAACGTGATCCTCCTGAAGGCCCTATTCCCCATCTTGAGGCCCGTCTATGTGTACTTTTATCTATTGTCCCCTTGGCAATTGCAAATGTCCTAAGGGATGACTCTGAACTGTCTTCTGTTCAAGTGTCTATGGAATCAGGATACAAACATGAAACGAAATGTGATGGTTCTAGAAAACTTGGATTGATTTCATCTGTTCAAGTCCTTGGGCACTTTTCTGGCCTTCTATGTCCTCCTGCATTAGTTGTTGATGCAGCCAATCAGGCAGCTAAAAACGCAGCAAGCTTCATTTATAACTCTATGAATGAAAAGGGGGAATCTGGCATTGGCATTCATGTTAATACCAATACAAAAGCAGGTTGGTTTTTGGGAACTTGATCTTTATATCTATGATTCCATCTGCATTGTTTATGATGAATTAGAATTATATTAATTGTTTACTATATTTTATCTGCAAATCTCTGATAATTCTGAAATAATTATCTTTCAGGTGGGAACTTGAGGCATCTCATAGTGGAAGCTTGCATCGCTAGAAATTTAATGGATACATCAGTGTACTTCTGGCCTGGTTATCTGTCTACATCTGTTATGTCTTTGTCAGATTCATCATCTTTAGAAAAATCTCCATGGTTATTATTTATGGAAGGAGCACCATTAAACAATTCCCTTATAAACTCTCTTACGGTGACCCCTGCCTCAAGGTTTACTTTTGTGTCAAATTTGATTCATTCTTGGTGTTATCTAAACTGGCTGATGATTTGTGTTCATAATTTTTCTTCTGTCCTAGCCTGGCAGAGATAGAGAAGTTATACTATATTGCATTAAATGGATCAGATGTGGAAAGGCCAGCAGCTGCAAAGATTCTGTGTGGTGCATCCCTCAGCCAAGGATGGTATATTCAGGTGACAAATCCTATTCCCACTACAGATATTGGACATTGCAAGTCCTCCCCCAATACAGCTGCTTAGATGTACTTCAGGCATTTCCTTGGATGTATATTTCTTAAATTATTTAGTCTCACACTAAAGTTTACCAATCTTGTTACCAGAGGGGGGTAAAATCGTTAACTTAGGTTTATGAATTTGATACAATATAATTATTGGAATAGAGAATGGACTGGGTGTAGCTCTGCCCTAAAGATTACTTAAAGGGAGCAGGATTACCCAAGTCATTATAAAGGGTATTTTGGCTATATACTTGGCCAGTGTGGGATCTTAACAATAATCATCTTGTCTGAGTATAATAAAATATTATAGGTTATTGGAAATGATAGAAATGAATTAACTCAAAACATTAGTGTAACCCACAATTCAAAGTATAATCCAGTACAAAATAAACAGTCATTAAATGTAAAGTTAATAAAAACATAATTCTTGTTGAGCCATGTTAAGGAAAGTTGATATAAAGGGAGAGGGAAAACTGAATAATGGAGAGGGAAAAACAGAGAAGTGGGAGAGGGAAAAACTGAAATAAGGGACATAAAGAAAAACTGAAAGAGGGAAAGGGAAAAATGGAAAAAAAAAAAAAAAAGCTACCGAAAAAAATGGAGTCGCCGGATATGGAATAGTTGTCGCTGGTCAAAAAAACAGGAGTTAGAGCAGTCCCGAATGAAGAGAGAAACCAGAGATGAAGAAGAGAGAAGTGAGAGACGAAGCAGAGAGGCAAGATTATTAGGGTTGAGCTCGTGGGTTCTTGCTTTGGGCCGGGTTGGATCCACGGCCCAACCCCTTTTTTCTACAAAAAAAAACCCATTTTTCTTTAAAAACCACCATTTTTCTACCATGGCTGCTGTTACTGGAAAACACCATGCTTGTAACGGAGAGCATGGAAACTGCCACCGCCATCCGTCATGGCCGCCATTTGATAACACTGATACCCATATGATGAACTGATTTTGAAGCTGCTGGATCTAATGCAGTGGAATTGAATCAATCCATATTATTGTAATGTAATTATTAGGCAGTTCATTAGTTTCCAATCATATTTTGAATTATTGTGCGTTATTTTGTTTTTCACTCAAGTATTCTGTATCTTATTGTTGGCCTTCCCTGAGCCCAAATAATATAATTGAAGAACAAGGTACACAAGAAACACATTGAGTAGTGTGGACTATTAATTAATGGAAATTTTCAATTTAATTTTTATCTAATTTTATTCAATCCTGTTGTTTGCCTAAACACTAAAAAGAAAACCCGAACCTGGATTGTGAGTTTCACTGAGGTTGACCTACTTCTGTTTCTCCTCTTATCTAAACTGAAAAAAAATTGTCATGCTTTTGTTCTTTGCGGTGATGACAAAACTTGCATTATTTCTACCCCCTTCAGATAATAGTTCTGTGACTACTGTCCTTTGCTTGTACTGGCTTGTGGATTAATGTGTGAATACTCAGTTCTTGGTATTGCAATCTTGAATGTTGTATCCTTCATCATATACTGTTTCTGACATCAAGCTTTGTCTCCTTCGCAGGAACATGTGGTCCACTATGTTGTCAAGCTTCTTGCTTCTCCTGTGCCTGTTAGTCATTCTGGATCTTGGAGTCTTTTGGTTGATAACATGCCCATGCTAAGTGCTGTCCTTCGTGGAGCTTCCTGTGTTGATACTGTTCATATACTTTCTTTACATGGTGTTGTAAGTGAATCTCTTCAATAATTTATTTGATGTTTTTATGAATATGATAGTATGATACCCCTTTAGATTCTTTGCCACAAATTTGAGGGGGGGTGGGGGAGGAATTTACGTTCACTCAGCTTTTGGCTGCTGTTGAACATTGCAGGTCTTGTTTGGTGCTTGGAATTGGGCTCCAATTCAACCTTCGAATCAGACTTGGACAATTAAGTTCTAACCTTAATGTTTGACACACCTTCTAGCATGCAAAATTCAATTTTTTTTAATAAAAATTCCAAGGTTGGAAAACAATGTAATAAAACCCTTTCCAATTCCCAGCAATAAGTGCAGTGATGCACATGCAACTATATCCCTCTTCACTTCCATTTCTAGGAGTAATTTGAACATTTAGTTTTATGTTCTTGAAACAATTGAAATTATAATTGTGGGCTTCAAGTTTTAGTTTCGTTTTCTAAACAAAGCTTGAAGAGAATCTTGTAGTGATGGAAGTAAAGGCAGAAAAGAGAATTATAGAGAAGCGAGAACATTGAAAGGCTGTAGGATGAACACACTGTATTCTCCCTGCTTACATGTGGTAGGAATATTAAAAGCATAAGTCATCAGCCATGAAATTGAAAACATTTAATCACTTAATCATTTACTTGAATCTTTTGACACTTACCTAAATACTTATTAACAGTAGCAACAAAGTTTATTTATATACGTTCGCTTTTATTCCTTCTTGGATGCACTAGGTTACACAAATTAAGGCAACCTAAGATAGGTTCTACAGTTCATGCACCATTTCTAAGCTATTAGTGCACAAGCTTCATTTAATTTCTTTTCCAGTTACATTTTAGTGTCAATTATTTTTATCAGAAGTTTTTTTGTGTAGGTCCCCGCAGTTGCTGCTGCTTTATTGCCACTTTGTGAGGCATTTGGTTCAATTAAACCGACTTCAAATAGCACTGCCGAGGAGTCTTCAACATCAACATCAACATACATGACATTTTCTTTAGCATTTCTTTTCCTTATTCGTTTATGGAAATTCTGTAGACCCCCTTTTGACCTGTGCATCACCGAATTAGGAGTTATAGTTGGAGGTTTGGAGTATATTTTGTCATTGCACAATAATCGTGCCATGTTTTCCCAAGATAAGCTGAAAAGCAATCCAGGTCGCTTTGAGTCAGCATCTGTTAAACCTGTATATATTGATTCATTTCCAAAATTACGGGCCTTGTACTGTCAATACAAATCTTGCGTTGCTTCAGCCCTTTCTGGCCTTTCTACAGGAAATTCTGTTCATCAAACTGCTAATATGATCTTAAGCATGATTTACCAGAAGATGACCAAATGTGGAATGTCATCAAGTAATTCTTCACCAACTAGCAGTAATGCATGTAGCTCCGTCATAAATTCTGGTGAAGATGCTTTTCAAAGGCCTATGCTTCCTGCTTGGGAAGTACTGGAAGCACTTCCTGTTGTCCTTGAATCAATTTTAACTGCTTGTGTTCATGGGAGGCTTTCATCTCGAGACTTGACAACAGGTTGGCTAGATGCTAGCTTTACTTATCTATCAGTCAAGTTTTTCTGTATCTGTCAATTTTGGTCCCACCTTTCTTGTGCCTTTTTAATAGAAGATAACTAAATCATGAAAATTAAATAATCTCGTTGGCTCCAGTTCTTTTTTTGTCAATATCATTTTCTGGATATGTTAAAATTTTGCCTGAAATTTCAAAGCCAGAGTTCCAAAATTGTTAAGTTTGACTAAACCATTACTGTTTTTAATTTTAATATTGTACTATATAAATGAAAAGAGGTCACATCAAATAAGGGTAATTGGGGAGCACTGATACTTTTGTCAATCAATTATTAATGCAACTAAGAAATAGAAAAAGTTGGTTGTTGGAGTTTCAAAAATAGTTATTGGACAGAAGGCACATGTTTCTGGTGCTACGTTCATTTTATCACTGTGGTTCATATGTGCCTTTGACTTTCAGGTCTTAGAGACCTTGTTGATTTTCTTCCAGCATCGCTTGCTGCCATTATTGATTACTTTTCTTCAGAAGTTACTCGTGGTGTATGGAAACTGGTTCCAATGAATGGAACCGATTGGCCTAGTCCAGCAGCAGTTCTTCAATCAATTGAATCAGAAATAAAAGCTATATTGACATATGTTGGTGTTGAGGTTCCAAACTGTTCTTCTGGTACTTAGCTGGTTCATTTTTCTAATATAACTGTTCAATATTTATGAATTTCCATTCCGAGTCCCCAAAAAACATAACATGATACATGCATGCATAGATAGATGGAATTGATGAGACAGGTGCATGCATTGCAGAGACATTTTATATGTTGCCTGAAATAGTTGCCGTGACCAGAATAATTTGGTCTGTGTTTTCTTTCTCTTTTTAATGTGTCTGACTTGATATAAAATTACAATTTAATGTTTCATCAATATATTCTAATGAAGTACTAAATACTTTTAATAAGGAAAAAAATTTGCAACTTTTCTCTCTATACTATGAGGTCAATATCCACTCATCACATTTCTAAAATCATGTTGGCTTTCTCACTAGAACCATATCCCAACTGAGTTCATGTTGTGTGCATGTTGTTAGGGAAGGTAATACGATCCTAAGCAACAAATATAAAAGTGAAACAGAGAATTGAAGAAGAAAATAGACTTTGATTCTGTATTAATGGCAAAAGAAGAAATACAGCAAGGGGGATGACTCCTTACTGCCCAGAGCAATGCTCCTAATAGAGAAACCACTAAATTTCCTCTACCCAAGATATAAAAGAAAAACAGCCTCCTTCCACAAACTCACATCATTCCCTAAATAACAGAAGGATATCCCACTCTCCTCTAATTGCCCGCACCCCCATCTCTCATGCCATGTCAGCTCCTCCTTTTTTCTTCTGTGAGTACACTAACAATTTCTTAGGGAATGACTTTGTCTCATAGGCCAATGGTTCAATAGGACCAATCTGGAATTGGGCTCTATCATTGCCCCTCTCTTCAATAGCTGTCTTGTTCTCAAGACATATTTCAGGAAATTGGCTTCTAATTGTTAAGGCATCTTCCCATGTAGCCTCCTCTCTAGTCTTTCCTTTCCAAAGTACCAGCCACTGAACCTTGTCTTCCCCCCTTTTGTGTATGTTTCGTGTAGCAAGTATTGCTTCGGGTTCATTTATTTCTGCGCTATCATCCTCCAAGCCAGTTGGTGATTCGGGTTCAGCCTTGTAATTCCCTATTGCTTTTTTTGAGCAAAGAGATATGGAATATTGGATGTACTCTTGTATTCGGGGGCAGCTTCAAGCGATATGTGACTTCTCCAATCCTTTCTAAGACTTCAAAAGGTTCATAGTACCTAGCACTCAATTTTGGGCTGATTCTGGCCTCAAAAGAATGTTGTCTATGCAGTTTTAACTTCAAGAAGACCATGTCCCCTATTTCAAAGCTTCTCTCCTGTCTATGCTTGTCAGCTGGGAACTTCATCCTCTCTTGAGCTCTTACTAGATGATTCTTAAGTTGCCTCAATGCTTTATCACAGTCTAAGAGCTCCCTCTGCACTGCTTCCACCCTGATTTCTCCTTGAACACATCTCACCATCATAGGAGGTTTTCGTCCGTAGATTGCCTCAAATGGGGTAGTTCCGATTGACGAATGAAAATTAGTATTGAACCAATATTCTGCCCATGGAAGCCACATAACCCACCTTTTAGGCTGATCAGTGATAAAACACCTTAAGTAGGTCTCCAAGCAACGATTTGTGACTTCGGTTTGGCCATCCGTTTGGAGATGGTAAGCCGTACTCATTTTCAGTATCGTTCCCTGCCTTTTGAAGAACTCCTTCCAAAACAAACTCATAAACAAATGATCTCAATCACTAACCATAGAATTCGGAACCTCATGTAGCCTTACCACTTTCTTCACAATTAACCCAACGATGGTTCGCGCAATTTAAGGGTGTTTGAGAGAAATAAAGTGGCTGTATTTAGTCAGCTTGTCCCCTACAACCAAGACAGCTTCAAATCCCTTTGACCCAGGCAACCCTGTTATAAAATCCAAGCTAATGTCCTCCCATACCTTTTTGGAATAGGGAGAGGTTGTAAGAGCCCCCTTGGAGCAGTAGTCATGTACTTTTAGCGTTGACATGTATTGCAAGCTTATACAAACTTCTGGGTGTCATTCTGCATACCCTTCCAATGCAAATTGACAGCTAACCTTCTATAAGTATGTAAAAATCTAGAGTGCCCCCCTTGTGGGGTCGCATGGAACTCTTCTAACAATTTGGGGATGCAAGCAGATTTTTTTGAAATTACTAATCTATCTTTGTAAAACAGAATACCTTGTTTGTAGGTAAACCCTAGAGTTACCTCTTTTCCTTACTACAGAGCTTCGATAATCTTCTTCCATTTGTCCTCAACATGTACTTTGGCTATGGCCTCTTGACAGTCTAACCACACAGGATATGTACATTAATGCCCTGAATTCTGTTTCCCCCATACTCCTTGATAGTGCATCCGCGCCTTTATTCTCCAAACCAGGTTTGTATACTATCTCAAAATCATACCCAAGCAATTTTGCAAGCCAATTTTGTTGACTTCCTGTTGTAACCTTTTGCTGCAGCAATTGTTTCAAACTCTTTTGATCTGAATATACCCTAAATCTTCTCCCTAAGAGATAGGGTCGGCAATATTGTATTGCTAAAGTCACTGCCATTAACTCTTTCTCTTACGCAGATTTGGCTAAGTTTCGACTACACAGGGCCTTGCTAAAGTATGCTACCGGTTTGTGGTTCTGCATTAGGATTGCTCCAATTCCCATACCTGAGACATCACACTCCAACTCAAAATCTACCTCAAAGTTAGGTAGAGTCAGCACTGGTGCAGTTGTAATTCTTCTCTTGAGCTCCTCAAAAGCCATTTGAGCCTTATTATTCCACCCAAATTCATCCTTCTTAGTGAGTTCAGTGAGGTTGCTATTTTACCGTAGTCTTTGCTGAACTTTCGGTAATATCCCATTAGTCCAAGAAAACCACGAACTCCCTTGACGTTTTTCGGGATGGACCACGCCATCACACTTGCCACTTTTGAGGGATCCACCGATACTCCTTGTACTGAAATAATGTGGCCCAAGTACTCCACACTGCCTTTCCCAAAATTGCATTTCTCCTTGTTTGCAAACAGCTCTTGCTGTCTCAAGACTTCCAGAACAACCTTTAATTGCACCAAATGATTCTCCCATGTCCTGCTGTATATCAGTATGTCGTCGAAGAATACTAATACCCTTTTTCTCAAGACTTCACGAAATACCACATTCATGAGAAACTGAAATGTGGAAGGGGCATTTGTGAGCCCAAAAGGCATTACTAAATACTCATAATGGCCCTCATGCGTTCTGAAAGTAGTTTTTGGGATGTCCTCCTCTCTCATTCTCACTTAGTGATATCCGGACCTTAGGTCGCTCATGGAAAAGAACTGGGAACCATGTAATTCATCAAGTAATTCCTCGATCACTGGTATAGGAAACTTGTCCGGTATAGTGGCTTTGTTGAGAGCTCTATAATCCACACACATTCTCCACTTATTATTCTTCTTCACAAGAATCGCAAGGCTGGAATATTCACTTTGGCTATGCCAAATGTGCCCATTGTCCATCAACTCTCCAACTTGTTTCTCGATCTCATTCTTGTGGTAATAGGAATAACGATACAGCTGCACGTTAATGGGTCCCTGTCCTAGAATCAAAGTGATCACGTGCTCCTTTTATCGGACTAGTAGGAGTCCTTTGGGTTCTTGAAATACATCATCATACTTCACTAACTTCGTCCACGTCTCTTTGCCTATCTCCTGTGATATCTTCCTTTTTCTGCATCAGTGGCTCCTTTAGCATTTCACAAAGGGATGAGAGGAATGGTTCTCCCTGTGTTATTCGCCTTAGTACTTGTGCTCTTGAAATTGTTTCAATTTTCATTGTGTGCTTCTGTCAATTCACCATAGTTTTCCCCAATGACTCCAACCAAGACATGCCCAAAATAACATCAAGGTCCTCCAATTCAAACAAAAAAGCATCCATCATAAATTCTCCTGCCTATGTTTCGAGTTTGATTCCGTGGCAAACTCCAAGAGTTTCAATCTTATGGCCGTCACCCATGAGAACCTTCATTTTCTTCGTGGACTCCCATTCCCATCCCATGGCTTTCACCAATTTCTTAGAGGCAAAATTGTGGATGACTCCACTATCTATCAAAATCAAAACAGGGATATCTCCAATCTTTCCTCTTAATTTCATTGTGCTAGGGTTCTCCCCTTGCTCTGCTTCCAAACCAAGTAATCTAATAGTACTACATTCCCCTTCAGAATCTGCTCTGTCATCGTTGTCGGAATTTTCATTGATAAAGTCATCCTCGTCGCACGCTACCTAAATTTCCTCATTAACGAGTATCAGCTTCAATTGCTTTATTGGACATTGGCGTAATGGGCCATATAGGCCACCACACTTAAAGCAAAGACCCTTCTATCACCTTTCAATCAAGTCCTGATAAGCTAAGTGTGTAGTACCTCTATTTCTAAAGCCCCATTTATTTCTTTCACCATCCTCATCCTTAGCATTTGGGCTAGGCCCATTCGTTCCACTCCTTGAACCATAACTTCGTGACCTGGTTTGATCCATCACATTCGAATGGGTTTTGTGACCCATACTTGTACGCATGTCTTGCCTTCCCTACCAAATAGACCTTCGCGATGATAGTTTCGCTTCCACCGCTCGCGTGGTATTTATCATTCTTCCTCTACTCAATGGATTTGTGGTTGGAGACTGTGCAAACATGAGCGAATTTCTTTTCGTAACCCATGAATGAAGAAAGCGAAGTATTATTCGTCTCCCATTCTTGGAACCCGAGCCACTAAACACTTGAATCGCTGAATATACTCCTCTACACCCTTTGTTTGTTGTAGAAAGGTGAGTTGCTCAAACACACTCCCTTCACCCAATCCACTGTAGCGCTGGAGCAATTCCTTCTTCAAAATCTCCCATGTGAGATCTTCATAATCGTTTAATAGTGAGTTGAAAAAAATGGAGTATTCCACCCTCCATACAAATCTGAGTCAAGTTCAACTATACCTCCTCGCTGGTCTCCTATGCTTTGAAATAAATTTCTGCTCAAGTAATCCATCCTAACAGATCCTCCCCGTATAA